GGATTAACACAAGATCCAGCTACAAAAGAATATATCTTTGTAATGGAATACATGGAAGATGGAAGTCTTCAAGATTATGAAGATCAATATTCAAAGGAAAGAAAGAAATATTATGGGGAATGTCCAACCTGCAATAGATATAATACTAATAGGGCATGGTGTCAATCATGTGATCCAAAGTTGTTAACTGAAGGATGGACTAGTGGCAACAAAACATTAGATAAATTGATTAAAAGTACACAATTTAAAGCAACTAAGTATCATTATAGTAATCATCTTCAATGGATTCCTTATAATGATTTGACAAATATTGAAAAGATAGGTGAAGGTGGGTTTGCAACTATATCAAAAGCTACTTGGTTAAATGGTTTGAAAGATATAAATAGTGGTGGTGATGGAAGAACTAGTGAAGATAGGACTGTGGCATTAAAAAAATTAAATAATTCACAGAATATTTCTGATGAATTTCTTAATGAGGTAAATTATTTTATATTTATTTTCAGATTTTTTAAATATTATCAATTATTACTGTTGCAATTAAATATTTTATTTATTATTTAGTTCAAAAATTATATGAAATTTCATAATAAAGATGATATAATTCATATTTATGGATTAACACAAGATCCAATTACCAAAGAATATATATTTGTAATGGAATATATGGAAGATGGAAGTCTCCAAAATTATTTAACTAAATATTTTAAAAATTTAAAATGGGAAAAGAAAGTTGATATTCTTTATTTTATTATTGAAGGTTTAAAAGATATTAATAAAAAAAAAATTATTCATCATGATTTTCATAGTGGTAATATTCTTCAAAGTAAATGGAAGTCATTTATTGCAGACTTAGGATTATCATGCCCAGCTAATCAAACATCAACAAACAAAAATGATATATGTGGAGTATTACCATATATTGCACCAGAAGTTTTAAAAAAGAAATCATATACAATGGCATCAGATGTATACAGTTTTGGAGTTCTGATGTCAGTAGTATCAACTGGCCAACAACCATTTAATAATTTGGCACATGATGAATGTCTTGCAATGAATATATGTAAAGGTGCAAGACCTGGATTCTCTAACAATACACCAAAATTCTATATTGAACTAGCATTCAAATGCATGGATGCTAATCCAGATAAACGTCCAACTGCTAAAGAAATTTGTAGAATTATTGAACATTGGCCACTTGAAAATTTGAGAAAATGGATGAAATAAAATTTGATCCTTCAACAATTGCTGCAACAATTCATCCAAATGCAGTTTATACTAGCAGATTATTAAAATTTACAAACCTTCCCCAACCTGTTAATTCCAATAAAGTAACAATTATTTGTAACCATAGAGGTGATTATTGACATTTAATCAATGATTATTTTCATTTTTATTAATTTAATATTAACAATATCCACTCTTGTGATAAATATTTTTTTAGATTCTCATCAGATTGATTTAGATATAGATGAATTTTAAATACTGACATATTTTTATTTATTTGGCTACTATAGTTGTGGTACTAAATATCTTGAAAATGAAATTTTATTTAATAGTGATATTATATGTATATCTTTGGGGGGTTTTTTTACATTGAAATTTGGATGTCAAATATGCACACTAAAATAATGATTTTGTTAAAAAATAAATGTAATATAATTGCAGTATTATTTATTTCCTAGCCTTTTCAAATCAATATTTCATTTTTTTATAGCATTAACAAGTTGGATTGATGCATTTAACAATATATCATATATAATATATAAATAATTTACTGTATATTAATAAAAATATATATATTATTTAAATATGGCCCTCCAAGACAATTCAGGAATAGATGCATCATTTAAAAGCTGCAATGAACTTTGCTAATCAAATACCATATAAAAATACATTTGGCATCAGGAAATTAAAAATGCGTTATTCATAGCACATGATGAAAATAATGTTATTCAATAGACTCTATACAGAATTTATGTAATTTTTTATTTAGCTAATTTAGAAATTTAGCAACATTTAACATTTACATTAATAATATTTACATTTAAATTAAATTAAACATATGTGTGTGAAGAATAATTGTTCAGAGTGAATATCATTAACATAAATTTCTTCAATGACATTCAAATTCATAAAACCAAATGTTGATTCATTTTCACTTTGATTGTTATGTTTCTCAGAATCACTGGCATCATTAGAATCACTTGATTCACTTGATTTGCTGATGGCTAATCTCTCATATTTGTCATAGTCAATAATAATGTCATCACTATTATCTACTCCCTTTATAAAATAAAATAAAATATACCATTTTTAATTAATTTATAAGATACAAACTTATATAAAAAATAATAAACATACTTTGAACTTTTGCACCCTCATAACAACATGCTTGTCTTTCATATCTGTTCCATGTTTAGGATCTAGAAGTAAACTTACAACTATCATTGCAAAATAGAACAAGCTCTGAGATGGAATACCAGCTGGCCATATTTTCAATGTAATTTCAGCAATATATGTATTATTGTTATTATTTTCTATCGTTTTAAACAAGTTTTTTCTACACCACTCAGTTTTTGAGAAAGTTTTCCATTCTTTTAATTCTTTTATTGAAGATTGTGAGTTTATATAATCTAATTTATCATTTCCAAATACAGTAAACATAGCACTTTTTGTTCATTGTACATGAGATCTATGAGCTGTTCTCATTGCAGTTTGTCCCTATAAACACATATTAATTTATAAAAAAAAATACATAATAATATATTAAACATATTAAGGCATAAATATATTGATCATAGTAATTATATATTTTAGCAAAATATTTCTCATAACTTTTTGAATTGCTGGGTGTTGTTGATCTCTTTTTTTTTTGAGTCATATTGCTCATTTATAATACTAATGAAATAATCATTAAAGCCAGTTTCATTTGGATAAATATATCCATTTTCCAGTAACAGATTTCCAAACTTCCTATATTTATTCAAATGTTTTAAATCTTTATAAATCAATGCCAATTATGAAAAATAAATATATAAATGAGTTTACCTTATACCACTGATTGTCATTTTCTTTAAAAACTTGTGAGTCTTTCTTTTTAATTCCTTTAATTCATTTAATAATTTAGTATAATTTTGAATCTAATTTTTTTACAATTTTATTAGTCTCAACCAGTAATTCAGTATTTTTTCTTAAGATTTGTTTTAATGTATTTTTATCAATACTGCCTATTAAAAAATAAGTAAAATTATACAGTAATCTATTATTGTTAAATCTTTCATGCATTGGGAAGGATATATATACCATTGCTATAACTACTGTTTGATTCCAATAATCATAATTGACATCAGCAGTCAAGGGATGTATTGGTGGTAAATTAGTTTGATTACTTATTGTAGAAGTTAATAGCAATTGATGTGGAATTAGCTTGATTATTGGTTGGACTAGTTCTGTTACTAATTTGTGTTGATGATCATGAAGAAATAATTGATAAATGTGAAGAAGTTAGTCCATATGCTGGAAGCTAAAAAAATTTTTTATATGCCACAAATAATTTTAAAAATGGAAGACATTTTGGATGAAAATAAACATCATGATGATACTTCTATTGATAAAAATGATGATGGTAAATATTCAAAGGAAAGGAATGAAGAATACGGGGAATGTCCAACATGTAATAGATATAATACTCGTTATTCATGGTGTCAATCATGTGATCCAAAGCTATTAACTGAAGGATGGACTAGTGGCAATGAAACATTAGATGAGTTGATTAAAAGTACACAACTTAAAGCAACTGAGTATTGGAATAATTGTTATCTTCAATGGATTCCTTATAATGATTTAACAAATATTAAAAAGATAGATGAAGGTGGTTCTGCAACTATATACAAAGCTACTTGGTTAAATGGTGAGAAATATGGAAGTGTAAATAATGAAAGAATTAGCAAAGATATGTCTGTGGCATTAAAAAAACTACATAATTCACAGAATATTTCTGATGAATTTCTTAATGAGGTAAATTATTTTATTAAATGTTATTGATTATTATTGTTGTAATTAAATATTTTATTTATTGTTTTAGTTCAAAAATTATATGAAGTTTCATGGTAAAGGTTTTATAATTCATATTTATGGATTAACACAAGATCCAATTACAAAAGAATATATATTTGTATTGGAATATATGGAAGATGGAAGTCTTCAAAATTATTTAACAAAAGGTTTTAAAAATTTAAAATGGAATATGAAAATTAGTATTCTTATATATATTATTAATGATTTAAAAGATATCCATGAAAAAGAAATTATTCATCATGATCTTCATAGTGGTAATATTCTTCAAGATTCTAATGATTCATATATTGCAGACTTAGGATTATCATGCCCAGCTAGTCAATCATCATCATCAAATAAAAATGATATATTTGGAGTACTACCATATGTTGCACCAGAAGTTTTAAAGGAGAAGCCATATACAAAAGCATCAGATATATATAGTTTAGGAGTTCTGTCTGTAATATCAACTGGTCAACAACCTTTTAATAATTTGGCACATGATTTTGGGCTTGCAATGAAAATATGTGAAGGTGTAAGACCTGGATTCTCAAACAATACACCAAAATTCTATATTGAACTAGCATTCAAATGCATGGATGCTAATCCAGATAAACGTCCAACTGCTAAAGAAATTTGTAGAATTATTGAACATTGGCCACTTGAAAATTTGAGAAAATGGATGAAATAAAATTTGATCCTTCAACAATTGCTGCAACAATTCATCCAAATGCAGTTTATACTAGCAGATTATTAAAATTTACAAACCTTCCCCAACCTGTTAATTCCAATAAAGTAACAATTATTTGTAACCATAGAGGTGATTATTGACATTTAATCAATGATTATTTTCATTTTTATTAATTTAATATTAACAATATCCACTCTTGTGATAAATATTTTTTTAGATTCTCATCAGATTGATTTAGATATAGATGAATTTTAAATACTGACATATTTTTATTTATTTGGCTACTATAGTTGTGGTACTAAATATCTTGAAAATGAAATTTTATTTAATAGTGATATTATATGTATATCTTTGGGGGGTTTTTTTACATTGAAATTTGGATGTCAAATATGCACACTAAAATAATGATTTTGTTAAAAAATAAATGTAATATAATTGCAGTATTATTTATTTCCTAGCCTTTTCAAATCAATATTTCATTTTTTTATAGCATTAACAAGTTGGATTGATGCATTTAACAATATATCATATATAATATATAAATAATTTACTGTATATTAATAAAAATATATATATTATTTAAATATGGCCCTCCAAGACAATTCAGGAATAGATGCATCATTTAAAAGCTGCAATGAACTTTGCTAATCAAATACCATATAAAAATACATTTGGCATCAGGAAATTAAAAATGCGTTATTCATAGCACATGATGAAAATAATGTTATTCAATAGACTCTATACAGAATTTATGTAATTTTTTATTTAGCTAATTTAGAAATTTAGCAACATTTAACATTTACATTAATAATATTTACATTTAAATTAAATTAAACATATGTGTGTGAAGAATAATTGTTCAGAGTGAATATCATTAACATAAATTTCTTCAATGACATTCAAATTCATAAAACCAAATGTTGATTCATTTTCACTTTGATTGTTATGTTTCTCAGAATCACTGGCATCATTAGAATCACTTGATTCACTTGATTTGCTGATGGCTAATCTCTCATATTTGTCATAGTCAATAATAATGTCATCACTATTATCTACTCCCTTTATAAAATAAAATAAAATATACCATTTTTAATTAATTTATAAGATACAAACTTATATAAAAAATAATAAACATACTTTGAACTTTTGCACCCTCATAACAACATGCTTGTCTTTCATATCTGTTCCATGTTTAGGATCTAGAAGTAAACTTACAACTATCATTGCAAAATAGAACAAGCTCTGAGATGGAATACCAGCTGGCCATATTTTCAATGTAATTTCAGCAATATATGTATTATTGTTATTATTTTCTATCGTTTTAAACAAGTTTTTTCTACACCACTCAGTTTTTGAGAAAGTTTTCCATTCTTTTAATTCTTTTATTGAAGATTGTGAGTTTATATAATCTAATTTATCATTTCCAAATACAGTAAACATAGCACTTTTTGTTCATTGTACATGAGATCTATGAGCTGTTCTCATTGCAGTTTGTCCCTATAAACACATATTAATTTATAAAAAAAAATACATAATAATATATTAAACATATTAAGGCATAAATATATTGATCATAGTAATTATATATTTTAGCAAAATATTTCTCATAACTTTTTGAATTGCTGGGTGTTGTTGATCTCTTTTTTTTTTGAGTCATATTGCTCATTTATAATACTAATGAAATAATCATTAAAGCCAGTTTCATTTGGATAAATATATCCATTTTCCAGTAACAGATTTCCAAACTTCCTATATTTATTCAAATGTTTTAAATCTTTATAAATCAATGCCAATTATGAAAAATAAATATATAAATGAGTTTACCTTATACCACTGATTGTCATTTTCTTTAAAAACTTGTGAGTCTTTCTTTTTAATTCCTTTAATTCATTTAATAATTTAGTATAATTTTGAATCTAATTTTTTTACAATTTTATTAGTCTCAACCAGTAATTCAGTATTTTTTCTTAAGATTTGTTTTAATGTATTTTTATCAATACTGCCTATTAAAAAATAAGTAAAATTATACAGTAATCTATTATTGTTAAATCTTTCATGCATTGGGAAGGATATATATACCATTGCTATAACTACTGTTTGATTCCAATAATCATAATTGACATCAGCAGTCAAGGGATGTATTGGTGGTAAATTAGTTTGATTACTTATTGTAGAAGTTAATAGCAATTGATGTGGAATTAGCTTGATTATTGGTTGGACTAGTTCTGTTACTAATTTGTGTTGATGATCATGAAGAAATAATTGATAAATGTGAAGAAGTTAGTCCATATGCTGGAAGCTAGTGTTGATGAAGTATTACTCATTATTTTCAAGTAGTGGCAGATGTTGTGACTTTATTTTAAGTGAACCGCTTCACTTTGACCAACAACCAAGATTCAAGAGACCACAATTTATTCAAGATAAAATGAGGAGGGTGTTTGTGTTGCTATTGATGTCAATATCTGCATGGTGTTAAATAGGTTTATGGAACCAGACTGTGTATTTTCAAGGCTATCAACTCATACTACTGGCATACTGGATTTCAACTGTTATTGTGTGGAAACATTGATATTGGTAATTGAAGTTAAGAGGAAGCATATTTTAGAAGGTATCAAAGAACAGGCTTTTCCTGAGTTTTATCAAGCAAGTGAAAAGGCAAGAATGGTGATTCAACAAATTTACAACTATATGGGAGAAAATAAACTTAGATATGGTATCCTTACCACTTATGATAATCACTGGTTTCTATGCCAAGAGCATACAGAGCTTTGGGTTTCAAAAACTCTTCCATTAGAACCAAAATCTCCACCAGTACTCAAGGCATATGCTTATCTAACTCAACAGGCAAAAGAGAATCCTAATTCCCCTCATCCACTTCAGGTACCAGTACAAGCTCATGGGAATAATAATTCATATGTTCTTCAATCACAGTTAAAATTATCTTCTAACCAATCAGCAAATCAACAAACAACTCCCAGCACATTGGTGTACTAACAATCACTTAATCAGCAGAATTTTAGCTTTGCAGACTTTAAGGACGAAGTGGAAAAACTCTACTATGCAAGTTTCATGGTGATACAATTGTTTTGAAGAGTGTAGACTTATCAAAAGCCCCACCATATGTTCTGGAAGAAATGCAAGTATATCCAAAGTTGATCTGCTATGGATATTATGGAGGAGGTATGAGTTTTGTTATTGGTATGACCATTGTTGATACTATGTTGTGTGAGCATAAAATAACAAAACAGCAAAGGTCAAGGGCTATTAAGGGATTAAAAATGATTCACAAGCATGGCATCCTCCACAATGACATTCAGGAGGAAAATGTCTTAATTAATGATAATGGCAATGTGTACCTGATCGACTTTGGGATGGGCAAGTTGGGAGGACACAAAAAAGAAGAGGAAACTTTTTGAGGAGAAACAGCTCAAATATTCTAACTTGCTAGATAGATATAAAGTGTGATGAATTTCCAAGCCACATAAATGTCAGGTGGTTAATTAGACTGTAGGATTATACATTATACATTAGCATAAAAACTTCGTCATGCATCACTGGCAAAGTCCCAAACTTGTATTTTTTCATATTCACATAACACTGCATATAAAACCTGAAATTTAATAATAAAATTCCCACTTACTTTATTTGATATAAAAAATAATTTTATGTTATAAACTACAATGTAAAGGCTAGCCTATGTTGCCAGAATTGTGGAGAAGGAGGAATAAAACATATAACATGCCTACCAAGAATGGTGTTAAATAGGTTTATGGAACCAGACTGTGTATTTTCAAGGCTATCAACTCATACTACTGGCATACTGGATTTCAACTGTTATTGTGTGGAAACATTGATATTGGTAATTGAAGTTAAGAGGAAGCATATTTTAGAAGGTATCAAAGAACAGGCTTTTCCTGAGTTTTATCAAGCAAGTGAAAAGGCAAGAATGGTGATTCAACAAATTTACAACTATATGGGAGAAAATAAACTTAGATATGGTATCCTTACCACTTATGATAATCACTGGTTTCTATGCCAAGAGCATACAGAGCTTTGGGTTTCAAAAACTCTTCCATTAGAACCAAAATCTCCACCAGTACTCAAGGCATATGCTTATCTAACTCAACAGGCAAAAGAGAATCCTAATTCCCCTCATCCACTTCAGGTACCAGTACAAGCTCATGGGAATAATAATTCATATGTTCTTCAATCACAGTTAAAATTATCTTCTAACCAATCAGCAAATCAACAAACAACTCCCAGCACATTGGTGTACTAACAATCACTTAATCAGCAGAATTTTAGCTTTGCAGACTTTAAGGACGAAGTGGAAAAACTCTACTATGCAAGTTTCATGGTGATACAATTGTTTTGAAGAGTGTAGACTTATCAAAAGCCCCACCATATGTTTTGGAAGAAATGCAGAAAGAAGTAGAGATTTATAAAGACCTTGCTGATATCCAAGGCAAGTATATCCCAAAGTTGGTGTGCTATGGATATTATGGAGGAGGTATGAGTTTTGTTATTGGCATGACCATTGTTGGTACTATGTTGTTTTAGCATATAATAACAAAACGGCAAAAGTCAAGAGCTATTAAGGGATTAGAAATGATTCACAAGCATGGCATCCTCCACAATGACATTCAGGAGGAAAATGTCTTAATTAATGATAATGGCAATGTGTACCTGATCGACTTTGGGATGGGCAAGTTGGGAGGACACAAAAAAGAAGAGGAAACTTTTTGAGGAGAAACAGCTCAAATATTCTAACTTGCTAGATAGATATAAAGTGTGATGAATTTCCAAGCCACATAAATGTCAGGTGGTTAATTAGACTGTAGGATTATACATTATACATTAGCATAAAAACTTCGTCATGCATCACTGGCAAAGTCCCAAACTTGTATTTTTTCATATTCACATAACACTGCATATAAAACCTGAAATTTAATAATAAAATTCCCACTTACTTTATTTGATATAAAAAATAATTTTATGTTATAAACTACAATGTAAAGGCTAGCCTATGTTGCCAGAATTGTGGAGAAGGAGGAATAAAACATATAACATGCCTACCAAGATCCTAGGCCCTTTACATTGTAAAGTATTGGCATTTCCTTTCCCTGCCCCACGTTAGCTATCATTATCATTGTTATTTTGCTATTATTATTATCAAAATTATATTACTGCTACTTGAAAAAGGGTCTGATTCATTTCGTCGAAAATTATTTCGTCACAAAAAAAAAAAACTTCATTAAACAAATTTCTCCTCACATTTCCCACACACTCCGTTTTCCTCACCTAATTTCTTAACTAACTTTACACACTCCTCACATCTAACTCGTTCGGTCTCTGGCTCGAGAATGAAATAATTTTCGACGAATGAACATTCGATGAAACAAACTTTCGAGGAAATGGGTGTCGACGAAATGATTGTCGACGAAAAATTTTCGACGAAGTAAACGCGACCGCATTTTCATCTTCGAAACACATGACAATAAAATTTTTGATTGTAAATTTTTTCTCAAAAACTGGCACTGTGGCGTAGAAAGTTGTAGGGATTAAGTGTCTTGCATTATATGTAATAGCAACGGATAAATAATAAACATAACATAATATTAATATGATTGGCTAATTAATGCAAACCGAGTCATGTGTTTTTTATAGTACTCGGCACAGCATTTGATGTTTTGCACTATAATTAATCGACTGATTAATCGAGTAAAGAATAAATTTCAAGTGACGTTTTCAGAAGCATAAATGAAAAACTAGATAGTATTGCAATTGCTTGTGAGTGTTAAAATCGATGGGTTTAACACAATACTAATCAATCAATTAAATTCATTAATTCAAATTTAATATGCATGCAAATTTTTTCCTTATTGTATTTTTTATAATAAACCAAACACAAACTTCTCATGGTAAAAGCAAAAATTCGCAATGAATGGCAAAAATCTTTGTGAATTAACCAGATAAATTTATATATTTCTCCGAGTATATTATAAGATTTTTTAATTGATGACTTTGCTAATTAACAAATTGAATCTTTTTTGAAATATATGATCCCGACATCAGTCCGATATTGTATCAAATGAAGGTATAAACATAAAAAAAATTTTTTTTTTAAATTGAAATAAATGAGAATATGTGAGTTTTCTACTATATATATTATTTATATGATTTATATACAATCTTTTTTTTCTTTCTCTTTTTCTATTCTTCATAATCCTCATCCTCCTCATCATCATCAACAACTTTATTAGATTCAGATCTATTAGCATAGTTATTATCATGATCATCAACCATAGCTATATCAAGTGTTTGTTCAAGCATTTGATGTTCATGTAATATTGAAAAAAATTCACGAAAAAATGAACCATAATCCCATTTTCGGCGGATTTTTTGAATCTAAATAAATAGAAAATAAAATAAATATACAATATGTATATTGTTATAAAAAAATATAATATTATATGTATACTTCTTTTATTTTAGTCTCTCTTAATATTTCTTCTTCTATATAAACAAGTTCATTCATTATTCTTGATCTTATTTGATAAAGTTTTTCAA